TGATTAAAACCATTTCTCAACATTTACACTCTATTTCTATATTAATCATCTCTTTTATTTTTTTAATTCTTTTGCCTTAACCAAACATTTTTCCTCATTTTTTCCAAATGCTCTTTCTATGTGTTGTTTTTCAAAAATTAATTTTGCACCTTTTTCTGTTCTCCGAACTATATTTGAGATATCTTCAAGTTTTCTACGTTTGACTATATGCGTTTCACTTGTCTTGTCGATTTCTAAAATCTGCTGCATTTCATTTTCCTAACCATCTAATATTTCTTTATATTTTTCAACTTCTATATATACATTTTCTTTTTTTTTAACTTTCTCTATATAAAGATGTTTATTTGCATCCTCTCTCCAACAAACTCATTCTCTTACTCTTTTATTAATGCTTACTTCTTTTATCTCAACATTAGGTGCATTACTATTGTTTGCATTATATTTATACCTGTTTTTGACTTTTCTTGACCTGGGTCTTCTAGAATCTCTTTCTCTAATCTAGCAAACCAGCCTGGTTTTTTTCCTTTTAGGCCCACACCATGTGCTATTTTAAATTGATTTCATGTATGCATTGTTTTACCATCTTTTGCAATAAGTTGTGATACTACTATTAGGCCCAGACTACTTGCTTTTGTCTCCAAATAAGCCATGTTTAAAAGTTCAAAGACACATGCAATCTCCTCATCATTTGCTGTTTGTATGAGATTTAAATTTCAGCTTCTCATAACCTCATTTTCTTCTATAACGAACCCTAAAGCATGTGCTTGTTGCAGAATGTTTATTCTCAAATTATGACCTTTCATTTCTTTTTTTTCTAATATGGCTTGATTTGTTAAGATACATTTTGTTGATTCTACTCCTAGCTGGCCTTGCTTGAGCCTTCTTGTTATTAATTCTTCTAAAAGACCTGGCATGTTTAATCTAACTAGCAGCTCTGATATATGATACTCCATATGTCTATTCTAAAGACTTTTGAGGGCTGTTGTCTCTGAATATTTTGTTATTATGTTGGCTGTTGTGGAAAGCATCGACATTTTCCATTTGATCAAATGGATCATTGGCTGATATATTCTCTCACATTATGTCTTGGTCAAGCATGAAATCATTAGTCTATACTCCAGGGTGGGTATAAGAATTGCATTGTTTACGTATATAATCTGACTAAGAGACATTTGTTTGTACTTTAATAGGCCTGTAATCTTGTCTACTATGCTTTTTGCTTTGAGAATGTCTAACCTCTTCTGATTTTTGATTGACATCCAAACCCCTAAAAATCTTGTAGTTTCTTTGAGATCTTTTATTATAATTTTGGTCCTTGGATTTCCCATCCAGATTAAAAGATCTTTTATTTGATTTCTTTTACTCAATTTCAACACTACAAGCTCAGTTTTGTTCGGGTTATTTCAATATCATTTAACTTGTAAAATTCTTGTGCAATATCAATTGTACTCTGCATACTTTCTTGACTATCTGTTAACCAGGTTGTGTTATCTGTGTATATCAGTACACCAACTCTAATATTGTTATCTTCTAATTTCATATATGGTTTTGTGTTTCACATTTCATATCCAAGTTTGGCTCCTTGTACTCTACATAACAATGGATCGTAAAAAATTCTCCAAACCAAGTGGGAAAGTACCTTCTCTTGATCTATACCATCCCCTGCTTTTATGAAATTTGTATTTCCAAACTCTGTCATAATACTAAACTGCCTGTTCTTATATAACTCTAATATTATCTCAATTATTTTTACTAGAAGTTTAATTCTTTCTAAAGCTTTCTTTAATGAAACTATACTAACTGAATCAAAGGCTTTTTTCATGTCTTGAAATGTAACCCATAGCTCCCTTTTTTTTTCTATAGCTTCTTCTATTATATTGTTCACTACATGTATAGGGGTCGATGTACTTTCTCTGAAGAGGCCTGCGAAGTTTGCATCCTTCAATATATATTTTTGCTTAAAATTTTATCTAATCTTGATTGAAGCATTCATGTTAGAATTTTTTACATGTTTCTAATAACACTATAGATCTCGTATTGCTCAGATTGTATTCCCAGGAGCTATTTTTTGGGATTAGATATATTTGCCTGAGTTTTCACTTGTCTGAGATTTTGCTTTGTTCGAGGATCGCATTCATTAACTTTAATATTCTCTCAATCACTTTGGGTGATAATTTCTTAAAAAGAATATATTCAATATTCGAAATTCCAGGTGCTGTATCATTTTTGGTTTTACTCAAAGCTTGTCTCCATTCTTCTAATGTGAAAGGAGCTGTAATCCCCACATATACCTTGGGGTCAATTTCTTTTTTTGGCTTATATTCTTCTTTCCACTTTGCTTTGATCTCTTTAAACTTTTGGTTTCTTCTTCTGAATTGTTCTTTGAAATGGGAAATTACTTGTTGTTTTACACCTTCTTCATTATTAATTAATTCTAGGTTGTGGACTCTAGAGTTTTCTTCTACCAGTACTCTATCAATTGTAACCTTGTTGTATGGTCCATTTAGAAGGCTTTGGAGCATTCTCTTTTTGTTTTTTTCTATCATACTGAATTTTAGTTCTATTTTTTTATGGATTTCCCTTTCTTTCTTTATACTCTCTTCTATGCTTGCTTTTTTTCTCAGGATTTTGCCCCAGTTTTTTATTTCTACTATTTGGATTTGATTCCACTACTCTGGCAAATATGCGATCTGTGTCTGATACAGCTGGTTTATTTTATTAATTCTCTTGTTTAGACTTATATTTGTGGCAAACCCGATTTTTTTAGAAATTACATATATAAGAAAAGTTCGTCTTTCCATCGTCAAAAAAAACCCCAAAAGACTTAGTATGTATATATATTAACAGTATAGATAAATAATGTTAATAGATAATATATATATACATGCATCCTAATTTTTAATATAACATTACGAATTCGAAACATAATAACCCTAATGCTAAATCCTATTGCTAAATCCCAAAATTGAAATCAAAACTCTTGAAACTAACTAAAAGGTAGTTATATTTTGTTTCCCAATGGTAAATGTTAATATAACTGAAATTCTCTGAATTTAGACAAAAAAATGTCATCACACATTTTTACTATGAAAAGTATCTTAATAGTTATAAAAAATACTTACGCTCAAAAATAACATATGTTTTCAATAGCGTTGAAACCACCACTACCCTTGGCAAATTTGCTTATTGACACATTAAGGCCATGCAAAGTTGATTTTTCATTTTGCATTACATGGATTTCAAAATTAGAGACGGACGGACGGATTTTTTTTTTTTTGTATTTTTTTTTTTTTTTAATTCAATTTACTGCAAATAGAATAATGATCAAATTTAAGGTTATATTTGACAACAAGGAATCAAAAAATTGGGCCGGCAGTAATATTTTTCCTGTCAGTCCTATCGGACAATTGCGGGAAATCGAGGTCTCCAGCGGGTATACCGGATGAAAATAGCGGGGAAAATAGATGTCATCAATTGGCATAATTGGGATCTAAAAAAAAAAAAAAAAATTTTTGAAAAATTGAAAAATGGGACGGCGGGTAATGCAAAACGAAAAATCAACTTTGCGTGGCCTAATCCTTATTTTGTTTCTTATAATACATAATACATCAGTTTTCATAAGTAAGTGTACCGTTCGAACATATCCCTATCTTCATGTGATTTACGAGCTATTGCATTAGTTAATAATATAGATAGATACAGTATTAGTTTTTAAACCGAAATTATTACTTATCGACATGATTCAATTTTTTATAAACCTGTAATCACTTGCATCCTGTTATGAATTTATTTAATTTAGGATTTTACGGAGGTAATCTATGTATGTAAAAATTTTTTACAGGCTTGCAAGTGATAAAAGTAGGAATAAGCATGGACTCAGTTATTAAGTCGACCAGAGATGTTCATGTCGCGAGATAAGCCTAGAATACATTCACATATAGATCATATTGTGCAATTTCGATTTCGCGCGAGACATGTGGCAGAAAAACTCATTCATTAAAGTTTTAATAAAGTCTTCCTATTCAAATTCTTTATCTTGCGCGAGACGTGACGTCATCTCACGCAAGTCACGCGAAATCGCGAGTGCGTTAGTTTCGCCATCTTACGCGAAGTACATCTCTAAAGTCGATTATGTTCATTTGAGATTCAACTTGAATTAACTTACCTAAACTAACTAGAGGCAATTCAGTAAACTGTAGATTAAGTTAATTCAGAGTGATTCGATTTATAGTTTACTGAGTCGTCTCTAATTATATTAAGATTAAATTAGTACAGCTTAAGTTGAACCTCAGTGAATTAAATTGATATAGTTGACTTAGAAAAATGAGTTCATGTTCACCCTAAATATAGGTGGTTGCAAGATTCACTCATATTCTTGGTTTATAAAAAAATGGTGAAAAATTCCTATTATATATTAATTCACTTATATGCCGTGTACGTATCAGATCAAAATTTAAATTAGGATAAGAGTAGGGTTTCTGGCGCGAGGTAGATGGCATCGCCATGGCACATCATAAAATAGACGTGCCGCGGCATGCCAATTTAAACATGGTGCAAAGGTGGCGAGTCAATTACAATAAATACATAAAATACGAGCAAGGTCATTAGGGAATTCCGGGAATTGTTTTTTAGTTTGAAATTTACCTGAGCGATATTTCACCCGGCGGGATGCCCAGATGAATTTTTTTTAGACGGGTCCGGGAACATTACATGAATGGTACACCATATGGCATACCATATTAATGGCACGCCATTAAAAAAATATTTGCACCAACCACCCTAGATAGGAGATATTATGGAAACTTAATCTGATGGTATCGACGTTAATAATACATGAGCGCTGCCAAACAAAACCTGTTATAGTTTTGGCAACACTCATACGGTATATGAATCTGTATTAGAGATGTAATAAAACTGTTGTGATTTATGCTGTACGTAACAGTTTTTATCGTACCTCTAATTTACAATTATACATAAATTAATATAAAGTTTCGTTCCTTTTAACATTTTTCGGCATTTTTAGGATTTTTTTCATGCTGAAGGAGAATAATAAAATAAATACCCGGAATCACTTCTTGATTAGTTTGAATAATAAATATAGTGTAAACTTAAAATAGTAGTAATTAGTTGCGTTAAATAGTTAAGAATTTTTTTAGTTTACCTCCAAAAGTTATCCTTTGAATTCTTTGCTCTAATGTTAAGATAATTTTCGATTTTTCTTCGAGCAATATTTGGAGGGGTTCATTCTCTTTTTCAACCCTTTTAGATTCTTTTTCTAGTATTTGAACCCTTCTACATTCTTCTTTTGTACAAAAACCAATAGTACAAAGTTTTTTCTTGCATGCGAGGCAATGAGGACGAACATTACATTCTATTCCCATTTCTCACAGGGAGTTAATTTTGGTTCACCTTCACTATCGTCGAAAATTATTTTCAAACCATTACAACTTTTTTTGCTTTTTTGCTACAATTTATGCACGCGATTTTTTGTTTTTCTTCCTTTTGAGATAATTCTTTCTGTTCCATTTTAATTTTCATGAAACTAATGAAAGTATTGCGATATTTTATTAAATAAAAGAATTGGTAAGAAATTTCGACAAACTTTGACCTAGAATCGTGAGTTCTTGGTGAGTTGAACTGGCAAGTTATGGTAGTACTAATGATTGTGTTGATACGGCAAAACTTGAAGGATGCCGCCCATCATATTATTGGTTAGAAAGCATCCTTTTCCCAATCCTTATTTATGACTTTTGTCGCATGACCTTCAATTATCCGTTTTTAATATCGATCATAGTAGATTGAACTTGTGTGTTTATAGAATATTTGAAAGTCACAGTTTATCTTTTTGTCGTTATTGATTAGAAGCGTTTTTTTGTAAGTCATGTGATGATAATTCATATTCATAACGAAAAAAATCTGAAGACACACATACTGTCTGAGGTCCATCCGACCAATGGATAAGGATGTATGTGCAGAGATAAATTAACCGGGGTTTTTTTTCTCAATGTAGTAAACCTGTATAATTTTTTTTTTTAAAAAAAAAATACATATTATTAATTTGTTTCTGAATTGGTACGTATCAGACTTAAGGATAAGTATTACTATAAAGTGACAACCGTAGTATAATTAAAAGATCTCATGATTTAGCGGTGAACATACTTTTCGCCGCTCTGTATTACATTAAAAAATTAAATCTAAATCCATTGTTGTACAGTCTAGTAAAGTCAAACAACTTTATAATGTCATTGCTCCCTGATCGAACAGATCGAACAGATCGAACAAGAAAAAAAGTAAAATGCTCCTTTAGCGAACCTCCATGTAGTCGTTGCATAGAAAGAGGGTTACAATGAGAATTCGATGAACAACGCAAACGGGGACCAAAGCCAAAGGTTAAAATACCTGTCCCTGTATTCACCTCAGAATTAATTAAAGATCCTAGTCCGACTTGTTCATTGTTAAATAATTTGCAGAGAGAAGAACAAGTCCTAATTCAGAAATTGTATATCGTCCGGCAGTTAGCAGACGTAGTGAAAACAGAAATTTCTGCTTCTTCCTTGATGCAAGACGCAACAGGCACTTTTAATAATCCCATTATTTATATTAATTATAAAGAACAACAAAATCCTCTAGAATATGGAAATTCCCATTATACATTATTACCGGATAATTCTCAAACAAATATTTATCCCAGTTCTTCCCAAACAAATTTACCTGATTCCTCAACAGATGCTTCTTCTACATTATTACAAGAAACTAGTATTACAGACTGTAATATTTCTAATCCAGATTTATTCAATTCCGCAACAAATCTTTATCCTTCTGCATTGCAAGAAACTAGCGTTATAAACTGTTCTGATTCCTCTGCAAATACATATCCTTATACATTTTTTCAAGAAACCAATATTATAAACTGTAATACTTCTCAACCAAATTCTTCAACAAACACTTATTCTTCCACATTATCGCAAGAAATTAGTAGTATAGACCATAATACTTCTCAACCAAAATCATCTAATTCCTCGGCAAATACTTGTGTTTCTGGCAATTTGTTTAAAATTGAAACGCCTAAGACTTTTCGGGCGAAACTTAAACGTAAGTCAAAAAGAAGATATCAAAATTTGGTGATCGACTTGGAGAAGAGATCTGAACTCCTTGAAAATGAATTGATCGAAAGATATCGAAATTTAATGCTTGACTTGGAGAAGAATCGTTCGAGCACAGCACCTAATA